TTTCTTTCATAGAATTGATTTTCTCGAGAATTACTCCAGTTTATATCTCATTCGATAGAGAATTTCACGAGCTTTAAAATGAGCTATAAATAAGTCTTTCAAAATATGCACCCATTGGTCGGTCAATAGTTGAAATAGTTGGCCGAAATACTGACTTTTACCTATCTTAGTGCTTTGAACACTCCGTTAGTCGTTTTTCTGCTATAACGAAAAATTATGTATTGTTCGAAAACATACCATTGGATAGCCCTTGAAATTCTCTACAAAGTGACCTGGTCACAATGTCCAGACAGGTGTGGCCAGTCATTAAAGATACGGAAAAGAAGCTTTTGGATATTATCTAAGCAGTACACTGTGTCATAATCATAAGAACTCCCTTATTTTTGACTTTTTAGTAAAAGCTGGAACCACTCTAAATAATGTTTTGAATAGCCCGAAGATTTTTCTATCAGATGAGGTGTTTATCGCCCTTTCATGAGAAAAGTTGATAACAGAGCTTCTGAAAAAACCAAGTCCTTGGTATTTGGTTAGAAAATTTTGCAAACCATATAGTCTGATAGAGCGAAGAAATCTAAGCAAAATAAGATATCTCCCGGCATTCTAAGCAACGTTCACCCACATGTTTGCTCAGATGCTACCGAGTATTTCGGATCTTAGAGTACCCAGTTACATTTTCTTAAGACTATCTTATACACCATAGTTTAGTAAAGAACTGAATACCATGTTTCCTTATTCACAGTAAATCATCGTATTTCACTGTTTTTTACTGTTACATTCTGCATCTGCATGTAGTAATCGACAACACAATTTTCGTCTATTCTTAGCAGCGTCATTGAATGATAAACTCGAGCTTCATCAAGGATTCTTTTACATGAAATACAGAAATCACGGTATATGACGAAAAGAAAAAATAGCGAGTTAAAACAATTATAACCTGTTCCAGTCGCATCAATGAAATATCCATACTACCATAATACCACATTGTGCACCTTTTTCTTGTCAACTAACTTGCGTTTTCTCCAGCTCGCTACCTTTCGTAATAATTGATAAGAAAGGAAGAACAAAAAGACGCGAATATCGACAACTTGCATTTAGATAAGGTGACTATATACACAGTATACTCTAGCCTCTCACAGCATACCGCTCGTTTTGCAACAAACAACAAAACATGGCGTCGTCATCACGACTGTGCATCATCAATGAGTGTAAACGTCCGTCTGGAGATCTGTGCCATTGTTGTCAACAGTATTTGTGCCGGGATCATTTGAACGAACACAATGATTTAATCAATACCCAACTCCAACCATTGGCCGACCAAATGAATACACTTTCGAATTATTTCAATAACGTCGCTTTGTTCGAACCATCTTGTCTTACAAGTCTCGATCAATGGCGTGAGCATGCTCATAAAACAGTAGATCAATTCTATGAAAGAAAATGTCGACAATTTGAACAATTTCTTCCAGACAGAAGAGACAACCAGAAAAAAGAACTTGATCGAGTCAGTGTGACCGAACTAATTCGAGAGCAAGAAGCGACACAGGAACGAGTTCATTCGATCACAGAATCTATTCAATCCTTCGAACGAGATGTCAACGACCTTCAACAAATTCATTTCAACATTGCTCCATTGTTAATTAATGACGATCTCATTTTCATTCATCATGGGACAGGTTCCCGATATCTTTCGCCTCCATCATCTTCGTCTCCAACAATACAATCATCAGCTGGTAGTTGTTCCTCAATAGCGAGCAACAAGAAACGTCCATTAGTGCATCAAAAACGTAATATATGCTTTCTAGGTAAGTACTAAGTAAAATGCTGATTCAGAAATTCTTGCCTACCATGCATCCTCGCCCGGACTATGTGTGTTTGTCAATCGTTAAATAATTCTTTAGACTTAGCCTCTTTCTCGAAGCTCTCCATCTAGTGCTCAGACATTTAAGAAAAAGATTAGATCTGACGGGTAGTCATGACGTCTGTCCGAAAAGGACTGAAGACCGAAAAAATATGGGCATCTCCCATGGCATTTAACCCTAGTTTAAGTGTTACCAACTGACGGCATCTGAACTAGTCGAAATGAAGGGCTTTGTGCTGATCAACTTGAGATTATCCTCATTAATCTCGCTTACCTAAAGACAAAATTGTATAACAAGCTGATCTTTTTCAATGTTGATCGAATTTTTCCACCGAAACTTATTCCCTGAAACAGTCAGTCGTATATTATGATAGAGTGAAAGCTTCTCTGCGAGCATTCCTCCACCACTTAGTGAGGGAATTCGAGTTGGGCTCGGGATGGGGCCAACTTCCCTGGTCGTCAGGCTCATTAGTAATGTGTTCAGTCAGAGGGAGACATTTTTAAAAGCACATGTTCTAGGAGAATTTTCGTGGATCTACTCGAATCTGTCGTCATGGCTGAGATTCGTAAGACATCTGGTCGATAAATGACTCACATAATGAAGAAAGGTGTGCTTCTCATGCGAAGGTTGTCGCTATCATGTTTTTGTGATATCCCTATTTCACTTCGAGGACGATACCCTACTGCGGTTTAAAACAATTATCGGCACAAAAAGTTCCACACAGTGAAACCATTTTCTCGGAGTGTCAACGCATTTTTTTAAATCATTGGCGGAAACTAGCGATATCACCCACTTCCAACTTGACTTGGTTTAGATAGGGAAAGGCAGTCATGAGGGGTGAGGATGGATCAAGATGCACATGTGGCGGTAACAAAGATAATGAAAGTGGATTGGTCATGAGGGTCACACGGAGGATGGGAGCATGAAGATGAGGGTGAGGCTAGTTGTCAGCCTCACGTTCACATGCATCGTCTCACCCTCACTAGCATACGACTGCTCTAACGCATCCTCAACCTCACCCTACGTAGAACTAAAATCGATAATATTCACCTGTACAATACACGAAAGAAAGTAGGATTTCAATCTGCTCTACAAGAAATTAAAGTTAAAATTGCCCTAGATTTTAATTTTTCCTACAACAAATCCATCGATATTTCTTTTTAGGCCGTGAGCCACAGATACCCGACGGTGCTCGATGGTCATCCTCCGGGGTGACTGTTGCTGGTGGCAATGATAGAGGTGCTGGTTTGAATCAATTAGATCGTCCAAATGGCATCTGTGTCGACGACGACATGACAGTCTACGTGGCGGACTTCAACAACAACCGAATTGTTGCCTGGAGTCCCAATGCAACGGCTGGTGTCATTGTTGCTCACGGGCTCAATAATCCAACAGATGTGACAGTCGACAAAAACACCGATAGTCTTATCATCTGCGATCGTGGAAACAGACGCGTGATAAGATGGCCTCGTCAGAATGGAACAAGAGGTGATGTTCTCATTGAGAATATCCGTTGTTGGGGAATCGCAATGGACGATAGTCAATCGTTGTACATCACCGACGACGACAAACACGAGGTCAAACGATATCATCTGGGCGACACAACAGGGACAGTGGTTGCAGGCGGAAATGGAAAAGGTGATCATTTGAATCAACTCAACTGGCCTCGTTACGTTTCTGTCGATACAGAGCACGCTGTATACGTGTCTGACAACGGTAATCATCGTGTGATGCATTGGCCTGTGGGTGCAAAAGAAGGCGTTGTGCTTGCTGGTGGTCAAGGTACCGGGAGTAGTCCACAACAATTGTGGTGTGCGAGAGCAGTTATCCTCGACTCATCCCGGACAGTCTATGTGACAGAAGGGAAGAATCATCGTGTCACACGTTGGCTAAACGGAAAGGGGAGTGTTGTCGTGGGCGGAAATGGAAGAGGAGGTGGAATAAATCAGTTTAATGACCCGGATGGCTTGTGTTTTGATCTTCATGGCAATCTGTATGTCGCAGATCGTTTTAATCATCGGGTGCAACGATTTTCTATCTTGAAGGTCACGTAGTGTCTGTTGCGTATTGTTTTTCTTCCGACTGGATAAAAAATACACTGGGCAGCAGCCCATGCAAGAATCAGGAAAACCCTCGCCATCGTCCCCTTGTGACGCTCGTTCGGCCCTACTAACAGCTCCACAAAACAACACCCAATTCTGTTCTACCAGCAGCAACAATTACTATTTTAATTTATCTTAATCTTAAGTATCTTAATTTAATTTTTTTATATTACTAGTTTAATGATAAAAGTTGTATACAAAAGTCTGTTTGAACAATCTGAAGTTTAATGTTGAAGTTCAATTAATTGAATAAGTGATATTCTTCGTTGTTGTTTCTGCGAAGAATGTGGTGGAATCTAATATATCGAGATGTTGATGTGGAGGAGGAGGAAGGAAAATCAGCATACGAAAACAAAGTATTGCAAACGAAAATACTAAATTATAGAAGTATTAAATATAAATTAAATGTAAAATTTAATTTATATAAATTACTAAAATATAATAGTAAAGCGCCTCCTGCCCGGTGTATGAGAGAAGAAGAAGAGGTGGTTTGAATTTGAAAATTAATCAGAAGAAATCTCTCTCTATGAATGTGAGAGAGAGAAGAAGAAGGAGAGAAGAGATGTTACTTTGAAGTTGAAAAGTGACAAGAATGACAAAAGAATTGAAATTTGCTTTCGATTATGACTTTCTTTTCGTTTTGTTCTCCGGAAACGACTTGTATTATTTATTAATTTAATACATAATTTCTTTCTTCTATTATCTCTCTTACCAAAACCCGCGAAACTTCGAAGTTTTAAGAATTTCTGAAAACTGTGATGAGGTCAAGCATGGAGAATAATGTAATGGCGATGAGCCGTTACACCCCTCAAGATGGAAAATATCATTGAACCATTGGGTAGAGACTCGACTTAGAACAAGAATAGGAGCTTTGGAACAAGTTGTGGAGTGAATGTGGCTGGAATTACTCAAATCTGGTGGTAAATTTACCTACGTGTGTATACCGGGTGTCCCAAAAGTCCCTTCCATTTAAAAAATGCGTAGAATTACATTACTAAACAAGCTTAGCTAATATTTTTATTTCGAAGAGGAGAGTATAAAGTTCATTTCGTCTAATACAAAGTTCATGAATACTCTTGAAAGGCTACCACGTCTGTGGCAATATGAAATCTTAGTATTTTTCGAAATGTCAACAAACAGCCAAATGTTCCAACATTTTTATTTCGCATATATCTGAGCCTGAAAAAATGGTAAAATCTTGATCCTTTTTTCAAAAGATGCGCGTTCACATGCATCGTCTCACCCTCACTAGCATACGACTGCTCTAACGCATCCTCAACCTCACCCTACGTAGAACTAAAATCGATAATATTCACCTGTACAATACACGAAAGAAAGTAGGATTTCAATCTGCTCTACAAGAAATTAAAGTTAAAATTGCCCTAGATTTTAATTTTTCCTACAACAAATCCATCGATATTTCTTTTTAGGCCGTGAGCCACAGATACCCGACGGTGCTCGATGGTCATCCTCCGGGGTGACTGTTGCTGGTGGCAATGATAGAGGTGCTGGTTTGAATCAATTAGATCGTCCAAATGGCATCTGTGTCGACGACGACATGACAGTCAATGAAAAGGACCAGATGCGCAAATTTCATTGTTCTGTAGAGAGGTACTTAACTAAATGCCTTGCACTGTAAAACTCTCCGCTCATTTTTCAACTAAACGTAGAACTGAGAGAATTCAAGAGAATTGGGAAATCACAGGTTCTGCGATTTCCGTCCGTTATTTGCGAATTCGTAACGAAAACAGCGAAGTGAGGTGAGAACTCTGCGAACCGATGTGAAGATACGTACGAATCTATCTATTTTTAACCTCATAGAAATACTTCTTGTCCTTGATCAATTCGTTTCGCTGATTCTCAGTTAGCTGTACAGTTATTTTGACCCCATCGGCTATCCGACATTTATCCACTTTGAGGAAAGAGTAACTTTGAACAATTCTTTCGAATCTTTCGAGGATTTAGAAAACCAACCAGAATCTGGCTCCAAAATCTTAAGGATGAAAGAAAACCGAGGTCTCAAGTTAGTCTTACATTGAATGATGATTCTACAGTTCTTCAACGATTTCCTTTCTACAACGAACGATGGGTGCACACGCTAAGAGAGATCAAAAAATAACGTGAATCAGATCGATTCACTGTCCGTGCCAGAAAAACAGAGAAAAGTGAAAGAACAACGGAAACCAAGTCAGAATACATCAGGACTAACAAGGTTGTAAATTTTGCTCGAAGTCATTATTTTAATCCCTGCTCGTTCTCAGTTAGGTGTACAGCTATTTTGACGCCATTGGCTATTCCGTAGTGAGCATAGCCAATCATCGCGAGTGAGCGAACTTGATAAGAGTTTCGATTCAACAACAGCAGGCGTCGAGATGACCACTATTCACAAGACAAGTTCGAACCTATCAGTGGTAATGCTTTCTTACAATCGGTTGGGCACAAATTGATCAATGTCAAGGGCAAGCGTGCAACGCTGGTTGAAGAATTTCGGAGTTACCGTCTTCTGGCTTCAAAATTCACGGACATGAGTGGTGCTGATTCTGCTGCCCTTTGGCTTTGGTCAACTCATACCAGTGGATTACCCTTGCTATCTCTCGCGCGCCGCTTTCTGGCTGCACCTGGCACAAGCGCACTCTCGGAGAGAGCATTTTCTGTGTCAAACTTTATCGGACGAAAACTTTCGCATTTTGACGCGAATAGTGGCACCGCGCCACTATTCGCGCCAAAATGCGAAAAGTGATTTGAATCAAGAGATACTTTGCTGACCGGCGATTCATATAAAAAGCTCTTTAGAAAAAAACTTTGAACCGATTCTGTTCTCCATATAAAAAGTCGATTTTGCGCTAATGTGATTTGTTCTGGTTTTTGATATTCACTCTAACGGTTTGTTGTATTTTATATCCCTCAAAATTTTCATCTACATAAGTGCTCTATTTGTGTATTTTTATCTTATAATAACATGCTACCCTGTTAGCCGTTAGTATACATGAAAGAGCTCTGATTAAAATGGCATAGTTGATCGAAGCTTGAAAGATGAAACCAATTTTCCAGACTGGCAAGCTAACTGAAAAACAACGCTATCTTTCGTTTCTTCTTTTGAAAATATCAAACATGGTAAAAGTTTGGGATCTGTATTGGTTCTGTCAACATCATGAATGTTGATCAAGGGGGAACTCCAGACTCATGGAGCCCCTTGGAGTCCCCCGGAGTTCCTTGGAGTCCAATGGAATCCAGAAGTGTGGATTTTTGGAATGGATTTTTATAATAGCAAGGACTCCAGGACTGCAGGAAATAGCGGAGTCCCGGAGTCTGCTGTTTCCCCCTTGATGTTGATACCAACGCAATCACCTACATTAAGTGTTTCAGCCAGATTTTGCAGATGTCCTTCATATAATTTACGCTTCTTATTTGCAGTTACAAACTTTGGAATCCAAGAATATTGAGAAGAAATCTCAGCAAGCATTTTCTGCCTTCCACCATGTGATATATTCTGATGACATTCACTCACAACAGTATAAAAAGTTCTCTCTAGGATTTAGAGGTATACAGTATACAAGCATATAGGTTTTTTACTTTTAACACAACAAACGACGTCAGTCTCAGCAACTTTTGACAATAGAAAATTATTATGACACCAAAAAAAACGGAGAAAGTGTCTGAGAACTCTTACCTTTTGTCGAGTTGTAATGCCATTAAGATTTTATCATAAGTTTTTTTTATAACAGTTTTGTCCCGATATCTTTCCTGTAAAGAACTGATATGTTTATCAACATCGTCAAAAAATGGTTTTTCGGAATCAGTCGACGAGTGAACACTAGTTACAGAGCCATTGTGAAATAAGAAAGAGACGAGTAAAACTTTGTTAATAGATAAATATAGAAAGAGTTAAATGTACATGGTGATGTTAACTTCTTCTAAAATAATGTTAGATGGATATGATATAACTTGTCCTATTTATATGAAGTTGCCTTGCTACACATCAGTAGCCGTTTTCACAAGAAAAAGAAGAAAACGAAAAATAATTTATTTTTGCTTTAAGAGAGGGTCCGCCATAGCACCGACCTACAGGCTATGGGGGTGGCCGGAGCAAAATTTTCGATTTTCGATTTAACTATCGCAAACGATAGCCTATAGTCTGAAACCTCTAAATCGAAAATATTAGCTCTTTTTGTGAAATCCCACACTATAGACTACTCTGAGGTCCTCCTCGATAAATCGTTTTTTTTGCTTTTTTTCTTTTCTGATAGTATTTTGATATTTTCTGTGCAACAATTGGACGATTTGCGCTGGGAGACGTCCCAAAAGATGCAGAATTTGTTCGTCTGCATGTTACACTATTTCACTTTTTCTCACCATAACTTCTCGTACTTGATATAGGCCCACAAGCGGTGGTACTAGGGTGTCCCATAATGTTACCCTTCCAGTAACTTAATTCTCTCCATTCCAAAAAAATTGATCCATATTCTGAAAGCCGATGAAAAACTGCATCTTTTAGGCTAAAATCCATCAGGAAAAAAAACTAGCAGAAGCACTTTTTAAAGTAAAGATTCTGGAAAATTACGGTTTTTTCGCGATTTGTTTCATCACTATTGTACTCGTATTTCGCATCTACCATTACCAATTATGTTCACTGTTATGCTGACTTTGACTTAAAAGTCAAAGTCAAGTTTGTCTGTCAGAGTTCATCCATAACGACAAAAATTGTTTTTTATATAGATCTCATTGTGCTCTCTCTAATGACGAAAGATGTAAGGTTCTATCTCGAAAAATGAAACATTGATGGAAATTTTAAAAATTGGAAACTCTATGCGAAACTTAAAAATATTTTTCTCAAAAACTACGGATCCTGAAACCAAAAAAAGGTTTGAAGTATATGTTTTAAAGTATATTCTACAAACTGGTCGAAAAAAATGGGACCTCCAGATACAAATTGGTAAAATATCAAATTAAGATTTATGATATTCCTGGTCTTGACTCATGACACAAATATCATGCTGAAAACGTTATTGAAAAAGCAAGAAAAGAAGAGAAACAAAACTAATACCTATGATACTTTGTGCAAAAGACTGGTTCATTTGCTAATTTTATCAGCATTCAGAACTTGCTTTCATCGTTCTGTACAAAAACAAAATATTTTATGCTTTGGTTTGTACAAATATATGGTCTGGTAATGAACGCAAGTATGTTATAGATCAATTTCGTCAGATGACAAGTGTATATGGAATGAAATAGTGGAACATTACAATGTTATACGTATATATTATTTTGGTAATAAAATATTATGTACAATATTGAGTAGTCAATCCTGTATAGATGTCGATATGGACGTAAATCAGCCGCAACAAGGTATTCAGGGATTAATCGAAGCTATAGCAGAAGCGTTATACGGTAGCTAACTGGGAGATTGGTAGTATACGATAATGGAAAATCGAACGTTTATTAGAAAATGCATGATAGGAGTAGAAAACATTTGGAGAAAAATTCTATGACATATTAAGATGATGACAAAATCTAGAGATTTACTTTATCTTATCTTTTGTATAACTCACATAACACTGATTTTCGATCCAAACGTGCAGAGATGTCATAATACAGATACAGAATATATCCACTTAATATAAAGTCTTAGACTAAGAATACGGACAACATATATATCCTCCTGAATCCCACAGATAGATAATATGCACATGTACATACATCCGTATTCATACGTATATATATGTATTCATGAATTCGTAGGATTCAGAGATTTTACTCGATACAGAGTCTTGGCGGTGGGGTAGGAGACGGAGAATAGTGAGAGTTAGTCACGAGACCACATGTGATAAACATGAGCGCTGCACGTGGACTTTTTGTATAGATGTCTGTTAATAATGGAGTTTCACTTGTGGTTTTTGCGTTCTTGTTGTCTGAGCCGGTTGACATAAACACATTGTGAATGTGTATTATTGGAATATAGATCAGTCCTAGATAGTTTTTCCAGTATAGCAGTAAAGCCCTTAGAGTGTTATCATAGATGTACTACATGCACTTCGAACACTGGCGATGGAGATAAGATTCACTGCATTGAGTGAATATTATATATGTATTTCTACCACGTTTGGATCGAAAATCAGTGTTATGTAAGTTATACAAAACATAAGATAAAGTAAATCTCTAAATTTTATCATCAATCATCTTCATAAATATGTCATAGAATTTTTCTCCAAATTTTTCTACTTCTGTTATGTATTACACGTAAGTTCAAAAATCGAGTTTTGCAATATTGTGTTTTGGCGTTTATCTCATGGCTAAATAGTGAAAATTTTGTCAACAACATTGAAAAGCATCTCTGAGAGCTGTGGCGATATCTAAAGCGACAGAAATTTAACGCTGAAGAACTATATCAGTTATTTTTTATTTCTCTTTTCTTCTCTTGTCTAATTAGTTTATTTGTCTTACTCATAGCATTATCTTCTGTCTTCTTTTTGCTTTATCTCACACATTTGGATTCTAATGTGTTTCCACATATAGATAAGACTCTTTCTAATGTAAGTAAGGAAAATCTTTACTTGTTCTTTCTGCTCCATCTGTTGAATTGGTGCCATTTTCTATCAGAACAAAGTCGATTTAATTTATCCCTTTTTCTCGAATAATGTTTATTATGTCAGAAACCTTTGACGAATGAAGAAACAGACAAACACAATAGCTGTTCAAAGTTTCTAATGGCGATAATCACGTAGATGAATCTCATTTTGCCTAAACATCAGATGATATGAATTGGAGATAATATTACTACTGTAAGATGATCTAACCTTTGACATTTATCACCATACGGACATAATGGTTTCTCACCATATGTCTTCGTTGTTAAGAAACCAGTGAGGCCGGTTGCTTCTCTTGGCTTATCGGCGGTGGTGGGAGCAACACTTGCTGATGCTGAAATACTTGAAAGATAATCTTTATCATCTGGATGTGCATATTCTTTGCGATGTGTTGCACTATCACTTTACAAAATGGAATGGAAAGAAGCTATTACATTCACAAATTTGAGAAGAACGAACCGATTGCAATATTTTCCGTATGGATATTCACTACGTTTTTTATCTACAACAAATGTTTTCTAACAAACAGATTTAACCGTCACTTCAACTATCCGTTACTGCTTGAAGCTGTCATTTTTTCTGCTGCCGTGGTTATACTGGCTGTTGTCACGGGTTGTTGTGCAAATGCTGATCCATCATCTAAAAGGTATAATTCATTCTTCTCTAGTACCTTGGGTCAGAATGTGAGAGAGCCTATAACATTTAAGTCTTCTTTGATCTTCAACTGCTAATCTCACAGGCTTTTTACTTGCCAGCTCCCGTCGAACGTCATCTGATAATCTGAGGTCGCATACATCGTCCACTTTGTAAAACTTTCCTTCTGGCGCTTTAACAAATTCGGCATAGATCGAATGTTGTTTCAGTCCCTTCAATGCTGCTTCGGCAGTCGATCGTTGATCAGGACCTTTTTTCAACAACATTTCTAAAACTCCCTTATATCCGCCACCTTTTGGTATCTTTAAGTCTGGTGCGTTGTAACTATTCACAAAATTCTCACAGTTATTAAGGGCGCTCATGTATTTCGTAATCAATTTGAGCGGAGAGAGGGGTTGACCACAGGTAACAGTTTATAGGTATGGAAGCAGATTATTACGTAAGCAATTTTTTCTGAAATATCGCAGATACTGATTCGAGATGAAATGACATGAACCTGTTGGTTAAAGATTTATTTCTAAAACAGAATAGATTTTCGATAAGCAAACGAAAGTCAGACCATTCTGTACTATTTAATCTATCAAAGTTTTGATTCGAGGTATTTGACATTAGTAATACCCGTTTTGGTAAAGCCTTCTTCTTAACATTTTGAAGAAGGCTTGTAGAATCACGTTGTATCACTGATGAATTTTCCATTTTAAAGTGAAATGGATAAGTTTTAGTTAAAAAACCACATTTGACGTGAAAAAAGATACTTGCAGACATTTCACGAACCATCCCTTCAGCATTCGATGATCGTATCTTATAATTCTAGACACTAATTGCGATGATTATTAGGGCCTATATCTAGGAAGCATAATTGTTGCCGTTTAGGTAAGGGTGAATAGAGGGAAATAACATCATGATCGGCTGAACAATGGGATAAGAAGAAATTGTATTGAAATATATCTTTTGCAAGAAGTTATGTAGGTAAAACATTTTATTTTTCTCGTTTGAAGAGGCCGTAAGAAAAAGAGTAACTAGTATCCCGGTTGAAAAAGAGTAATTAGGAATATCTTACTCATGATTTTATTTTGTAGCCCGTACTAGTGGGGGTTTATGTTTTGGCTTTGCTAAAGCGTTTGTCAAGAATCACACAGAAAAAAGAACCAGTTCAACTTATTCAAAAACTTGTCAACCTAATACGTTAGAACAGTGGTTGCCACTTTCACTCCATTTATTGTTATGTCTCTCGATGTTCATTTGATTGATGTTGCATCATATCAGTAAAGAAGAAAACTGAGACATGTTCATTATATGTGTCTATCCACACTATGTGTTACTCAACTCGACGCATGTTGCTGAAACAGTCTGTGTTGTACCACTTGAAAATGTCAATAACCTACACACGCTGCAAGCTCTAAGGGAATCCCCACCCACCTCAGGCCAAAGATATGAGATTTTACCCAGAGCATCGCAATTAAGTTAAGCACATCATTCACTAGTCCAAGATGTTTACTATGCGACTCCAGGAAGAGTAGACCTTCCTCAAACCTTTTTGATGGTTCTTAAGAAAGTTTTCTGACAGCTTTAGATTTGACAAATTATTCTTTGAACTAATATCCATAAGTATTGTTTTCGCATAAAAATTCGGTGGACCGCGTTGAGTTTTTCAACCGCGAGAAACTAGGACCGCGTGCCATGGGTAAAAAGTAGAAGTGTATCAAAAAGATTGATATCCACAATCAATATCATTAAAAGTGAATAGTATTATAAAGATTTGTTGTATTCGCCAGCCTTAGCAACATAGACGTGTTATGTTTCGCTTGTGTGCTAGAAAATTATGTTTTTTGACTTCTCTCAGTATCTTCGAAGAAGATGGAGTTACAGTTTCTACACCCAAAAATCCTGGTTTCAAAATAATTTCGGGTTGCGAATTCTCTTATTATGACGAAGTTACCGAAATTAAGCTTGGTTTTTCGATTTCTGGATTCACAACAGAGACCATCACAGGGAAATTGTTTCGCTCTGCCCTGTCCTGCCGCCCTACTCTGTCTTGTCAGAAAATTACTTATAAAAAATTTTTGGCCCTGCAATGTCTGGCTAGACACGGCGCCCTACAATACAAAAGAAAGTTTTTCTCTTAACCTGGAAGACTTTGTCTCCAACTCACCGCAAATACTGGATGTGTTTCTCGTGAGTTACAGAATCTTTTTTTTTACAAATTATCAGTTTTAGAAAGTCGGCTGTCATTTTTATTTTCGCATGTACGAGAGATAAAGAGCACACACATCACCACGGAGCATGCACCGTAAGAAAGAAAACAGAATTGAGCCACCGCTATTATCTTCGTCGTTCGATCCCAAAATTTTGCTTAGAAAGGAGCTTGAAAATCTCAAAAATCAATCTCTCGCAGGGCAAACCAAGGAACTTTTTCGTGTAATTTGCACGGGAAGATCTGTTGAGTAAAATAAAAATAAAATAGATCTTCCCCTGCAAATTTCACGGACCGACCATAATTATCCCAACTGATTCTTTTAAAAAGATAACACATTTTTTGTAGTTAATTAACTAAGAGAAAACACGAAAGATTATAAGTTTCATACACACGGTTGGCGTTGTCGTTGAATTCTGAGTGAGTTTTGTCTCAGAAATAATCCTTACTTTAGTGGGTAAGATAGCAACTGTTTTTACTCAGTTCATATACAAAACACGTGTTTGAATGGATAACAATAATATACGAATCTGCTTTTTCTCGCTTGTGTACAACGTAAAAGAGTTTAGAAAAAAATTTTGAGAAATAAAAGTTCAGCTAATGAGCAATAAGAAAATAAAAAGAAAGAATAATACATGTTACACAAGCAAAATTCGATTAAACGAACCGAGAACGATTTCGACTTCAAGCTCTATCGCCTGTATGAATCGCACGTTATTCAGAGCTACCGATGATTAATGAGCTAGCATCTACAAAAACTGTGTCTTTTTTTAAAGAGAATCAGTTGGGGTAATTATGATTCTTTTTTTTCCAACTGATTCTCTTTAAAAAAAGACACAGTTTTTGTAGATGCTAGCTCATTAATCATCGGTAGCTCTGAATAACGTGCGATTCATACAGGCGATAGATCTCGAAATTCCGTACAAGATGACATAATTTTTATTTTTAGTAATTTTACTCAAAATTCTGAAGTTTATGTTAGCCGTTTTTACCGTATTGACCAAAACCACCCCAAATCAAGTAACTATGATCGATCGAAAGATGCTTGCAAGAAATTCAGTAGGATTCAATTATACTAATAAGCTTGTCAAATTCTTTACACTATGCGACACGAAATACTCAGATCTACCTAACGCTTAAAAATCGCTTCTTTCCGGTCGACTATGCCAGAAATACCGCGAAAACTTTTACGTCCGGATGTAATCCGGAATCGCTCAGATATTAAGCCAGAATGCTTCAAGTTGTTGGAAAAGAGTCAATTAGATGTCTATCGGAAGATTTTCTATCCTGGAATGCATAGTAGTTACCTTAATATTATCCGTTTTTGTACCTCGATCTGATTCATCTAATGTGCGTCTTTCGTTTTCGTTGATTATTCACTCCTCTTACTGGAAGAGTCAAATTAAAAAATATATAGAAACAACGACCTGATTCATGTTTTCTATCGTCAATATATCTAATGACCGAAGCAATTTTGTAATTTTGTTTAACAAGGCATTTTTCAGTAAACAAGTGGATATCAAATATTTTATTATCAAAAATAGATAGTTAATGCAAAATGTATTAACTGTTGTTCATGCGAGAACGAACGTATCTGCTATTTTGTATTTTAGCCACTGCATCAATCGGTAACTAGATGAATTATATTTTGCTATAATGGAATATACTTAGGGCATACCAAAAGTAGTGGCAGTGGTATTTTTATCCCTTATAGAAAGGTTAAAGAAACTTTCTTTTATATAGTCTGATAGAGAAAAGAATGTTCTATTTTTCTATGCTATTTGATCA